CTAAGCCGAAATGGTAGAACTTAATTCTCATTTTAAAAGACTAATTGTCATAATGAGTTTTGGGAATGATCCAATAAGAAACCACTGTAGGCGACTTATGTATATGTATAGCTATTCGGGAGCCTTTTTATTTGGAAAGGAGAGGTAAAAGACATCAATGTTGTTGCTATGGTAATACGCATGTCAATTTGGGAGCTTTCATTTATGGTACGGATAGATTAAAGATACCAACGTTGTTGGTATGGTAACATTGAGTATGTATACATATGTCGATTCTGGGGATTCTTATTTGGAAAGGAGAGGTAAAAGGGTCCAACGTTGCTGCTATGGTAATACTTAGTATGTATACGTATGTCAATTCTTGAGTTTTATTATTATGAAAGCAGAGGTAAAAGAGACCAACGTTGCTTTTATTAAAGTAGTTAGTAGTCTGGATCTTTCTTGTCCTCGTGTGCATTCTACTTAATCGTCATTACCTCCATGGCAGCTATAGCCGTTATCTTATACTTGTTATTTTGATCCTTGTTCTATACTGTTCTATGCTCTGTCTCGATACCCATTGTTATTTTGATCCTTGTTCTATACTGTTCTAGGCTCTGTCTCGATACCCATTGTTATTTTGATCCTTGTTCTATACTGTTCTATGCTGTGTCTCGATACCCATTGTTGTTTTGATCCTTGTTCTAAACTTTTCTATGCTGTGTCTCGATACCCATTGCTATTTTGATCCTTGTTCTATACTTTTCTATGCTGTGTCTCGATACCCATTGTAATTTTGATCCTTGTTCTATACTTTTCTATGCTCTGTCCCGATACCCATTGTTATTTTGATCCTTGTTCTATACTTTTCTATGCTCTGTCCCGATACCCATTGTTATTTTGATCCTTGTTCTATACTTTTCTATGCTCTGTCCCGATACCCATTGTTATTTTGATCCTTGTTCTATACTTTTCTATGCTCTGTCCCGATACCCATTGTTATTTTGATCCTTGTTCTATACTTTTCTATGCTCTGTCCCGATACCCATTGTTATTTTGATCCTTGTTCTATACTTTTCTATGCTCTGTCTCGATACCCATTGTTATTTTGATCCTTGTTCTATACTTTTCTATGCTCTGTCTCGATACCCATTGTTATTTTGATCCTTGTTCTATACTTTTCTATGCTCTGTCTCGATACCCATTGTTATTTTGATCCTTGTTCTATACTTTTCTATGCTCTGTCTCGATACCCATTGTTATTTTGATCCTTGTTCTATACTTTTCTATGCTCTGTCTCGATACCCATTGTTATTTTGATCCTTGTTCTATACTTTTCTATGCTGTGTCTCGATACCCATTGTTATTTTGATCCTTGTTCTATACTTTTCTATGCTGTGTCTCGATACCCATTGTTATTTTGATCCTTGTTCTATACTTTTCTATGCTGTGTCTCGATACCCATTGTTATTTTGATCCTTGTTCTATACTTTTCTATGCTCTGTCTCGATACCCATTGTTATTTTGATCCTTGTTCTATACTGTTCTATGCTCTGTCTCGATACCCATTGGTATTTTGATCCTTGTTCTATACTGTTCTATGCTCTGTCTCGATACCCATTGTTATTTTCATCCTTGTTCTATACCTTTCTATGTTCTGTCTCGATACCCATTGTTATTTTGATCCTTGTTCTATACTTTTCTATGCTCTGTCTCGATACCCATTGGTATTTTGATCCTTGTTCTATACTGTTCTAGGCTCTGTCTCGATACCCATTGTTGTTTTGATCCTTGTTCTATACTGTTCTATGCTCTGTCTCTATACTCATTGTTCTATGCTGTGTCTCGATACCAATTGTGATTTTGATCCTTGTTCTGTACTGTTCTATGCTCTGTCTCTATCCCCATTGTTATTTTGATCATTGTTCTATACCTTTCTATGCTCTGTCTCTATCCCCATTGTTATTTTGATCATTGTTCTATACCTTTCTATGCTGTGTCTCGTTACCCATTGTTATTTTGATCATTTTTCTATACTGTTCTATGCTCTGTCTCTATCCCCATTGTTATTTTGATCATTTTTCTATACTGTTCTATGCTCCTTCTCTATTCTCATTGTTATTTTGATTCTTGTTCTATACTTTTCTTTGCTCTGTCTCGATACCCATTGGTATTTTCATCCTTGTTCTATACTGATACCCATTGTTATTTTTATCCTTGTTCTATACTTTTCTATGCTATGTCTCGATACCCATTGGTATTTTGATCCCTGTTCTATACTGTTCTATGCTCTGTCTCTATACTCATTGTTCTATGCTGTGTCTCGTTACCCATTGTTATTTTGAACCTTGTTCTATACTGTTCTAGGCTCTGTCTCGATACACATTGTTGTTTTGATCCTTGTTCTATTCTGTTCTATGCTCTGTCTATATACTCATTGTTATTTCGATCCTTGTTCTATACTATTCTATGCTCTGTCTCGATTCCCATTGGTATTTTGATCCCTGTTCTATACTGTTCTATGCTCAGTCTCGATACCCATTGTTGTGTTGATCCTTGTTCTAAACTTTCCTATGCTGTGTCTCGATACCAATTGTGATTTAGATCCTTGTTCTATACTTTTTTATGCTGTGTCTCGATACCAATTGTGATTTTGATCCTTGTTCTAAACTTTTCTATGCTGTGTATCGATACCCATTGTTATTCTGATCCTTGTTCTATACCTTTCTATGCTCTGTCTCGATACCCATTGTTATTTTGATCTTTGTTCTATACGTTTCTATGCTGTGTCTCGATACCCATTGTTATTTTCATCCTTGTTCTATACTTTTTTATGCTGTGTCTCGATACCAATTGTGATTTTGATCCTTGTTCTATACTTTTCTATGCTCTGTCTCGATACCCATTGTTATTTTGATCCTTGTTCTATCCTTTTCTATGCTGTGTCTCGATACCCATTGTTATTTTGATCCTTGTTCTATCCTTTTCGATGCTCTGTCTCGATACCCATTGTTATTTTGATCCTTGTTCTATACCTTTCTATGCTGTGTCTCGATACCCATTGTTATTTTGATCCTTGTTCTATACTTTTCTATGCTGTGTCTCGATACCTATTGTCATATGTTTCCAGATCTACTCTATGTTGCTTTTTAAGTTCAATGGTTGCCACAGATATCGATGTTGTTTGTACAATGTACACAATTTGGATGTCTGATCTGTTTCTGTACATCAGTTATGGTCTGTCTTATATTGTCATACACATGCTTTCCTTGTTCCTGCTCTGTACTATGTTACTATACTGTCTATGGTGTGACTCGACACCCATCGTAAAATGCATGTATTTTTGATTTTCGCTCTTTGCTCTGTTGCGAATATTTCTATGATCAGTCTCAATAACCGTTTCATGTGCGTGTACTTTGCATCCTTGGTCTTTGCTCTTTTGCTGCCTATTGTTTCTATCGGTCGTCTCTACATCCTTTTTCATGTGCATTTACTCAAGTACGCACGTATTACTAGCAACAATGTTACTTCTGATACAACAATGCATACTTTAAGAAGTACATGTAACCAAGTGTAAAGTAATCGGATGACGTATTTCTGTGTAGTTGGTACATTGGCCCGTTAATGTGTAAATAAATACATTTTGGACGTGCCTGATACCTATAAACATGTTTTGTTGGAACAGTTTGGAAGCTATGTTTAATTTTATGCAGCGGCTATGACAGGGGGTAGGTTACGCGGTCGTTATGGAGGGGACGACTAACTCGCCGTGCTACTTTTCCATTTGTATTGCCGTATTCTCGGTATTACTATAAACGCATACTTTGAAACCCATTACAGATCATTGCCATTAACGCTATGATTTACATATTCCGTTAAATATTGTGGTATTACTATAGAGTCAGTGTGATGAATACATTCTGGTGTCGTAATCAACTACCCTATAGTGACGTCCTACACTTGTACTACCACTGTACAGAACGGACAGACATGAGCTTGTATTTTATAAATCTTTCGAATTCCGTTCGGTGTCAGACGTGGTTTATGGGGCTCTGTACCTGTTGTGTGTGGTATGATATCACTCATAGTGTTCCACGATCTGGTATTCTGATTCAATCCCTTGGCGATATACCGCCGTTCGCACATCAATTACTCCTCATGTACACGTGTTTCGCATGAGATTCAAATGCCAAAGATGGCGGCCACGACAGAAAAGATTCCTCATAAACGTGTCGTTATTTTTCGGACGGATTCACAAGGAATGAGAGCGTAGCTGTCTGTTATTTAGACATTCTCGACTTTTCCCGTGAATGGTCATTTATATTTATAAACGAATCAATTGATAAGACATGTTCCGTTTGTGACTAACAGACTACTATCGTTTGTATCATAATTTGAAATTAAAGATGACGGTCGTGATACTTGCGGGATGAGATTAGTCATATCATTTACTAATTGTGCAGAAATGAATAAAATCAAGAGAGAGATGACCCTCAATTTTATCTCTTTAACATGCAAATTGTTATGTTCACAACATGTACCTTTCAGCCGAAATTCATTTTGTCGACTCGTATGTTATTAAACTTTCGTTAACGGCTACATGCTACAAGGCTTATTAAGATAATGTTGTTTTAAGTGCATGTACAAATACGAAAGCGTTTTATGGGTATGAAACACAGATAACACCAATCTACATTATCAGTATTCTTAGTAAACGCACTTAATTGCCCAGATTCATTTGACTTAATATCCGGAGAAACTCCACCTCTCTCGTTTGTGAGCGTGCATCAAGCCCTCACATGGTTTTTTTCCTGTATATTTCATCTTCGAGTAATGTTTATAATGGAACTTCATTATATCGTTAATCAAATGCCACAGCGGTTTTTTTATCATCAGTACTCAACAAAGCTATTATGGAAACAGTCGGTTTTTTATTGTCCAGGAATAATTGGGAAAACTTACCCAATCACTTAAGTAAGAGGAAGACCCTTATCAGCGGTAACTGCACGCACGTACTTTACACGAGCAGATCGTATTTCTTACATTCCAGTGAGCTGCCGGGATGAAAAACAAGATAATTTCCCGACTTCTCTAGGTTTAGCCCATCATTGGTGTGATGCAGTCCAATATCAAGCTTTGGGGAGACCCATGAATCTCCCGTTATCAATATTCTCTTACGTAGAATATTTTGTGGGTGAAGGCTTTGGAAAAATTATATTATTCTTGGAATTTTCATATTAGGAAAGTGGAACAAGACACATGTGATTTTTTATAGGAAAATGTCACTATTCTCAGAACCAGTGCGATGTTAAACACATATATACTAAACGCCTTGGATGACATTTATATGGAAATGAAGTGAGAACGGTGGTGGTGATACTACCGGAATGTGTTACACTAGAACCTGTAGGCTGTGGTAAGTTATCATAGCGATCTTATTAATCAAATACTTATTATCACATTTTAAAGCAATGATATATTTTCATGTTTCTTAACGTCTGAAACACGAATACGACTTTGAATAGATAGACATTTTGTCATTTATGTCAGTTATTTTGCTACCAAGCTTCAATTAATTATTTAATTTTTCGCGAATATTTCTATTTGCGGTTCAGTTTTCAATGACTTTTTCTTTAAAATCTGAAATCACGAAATCATGGAAAACAGATATGACATTTTTGTTTTGTGCTTCATAAAATACTTCTTTTACTATACTCTAAAGGCATATTTATGTAACAATGTTGATTATATAATATACATGTTTGTATAATACAGACAGATGCTAATCATAATATTCACATGTATGTATATAACAGACAGATTGCTGTAGTGTTAACATATCAATGATAACATGTATGTATATAACAGACAGATTGCTGTAGTGTTAACATATCAATGATAACATGTTTGTATATAACAGACAGATTGCTGTAGTATTAACATATCAATGATAACATGTATACAAGCGTACTAACATTTATTCATTTGTTTCAAAAAATACCTTATTTTTTATCTATGATATTTTGAATTTCCATATTACACAGATATATACATTCGATGCATATGTGTTAATGAAATATACTCACTACATACGCTATCTTATAGAGAAACATATTCGATTTAATAATATGAAATACCGGATAGATATTGCTTTCAAACATATGTTAATTTGACTTGTAATATGTGTAAAATAAAGATTACCGTTAAACAAACATGATCATATGTTGGTATTATAGACAGATAACCGTTATATCACTCATAATAACATAACTATGAAGGACCGTAGTTTAAACACATAGGGACCGCAAACTCGAGTAGGACAGTAACGAACTACCTGGAGCTCTTTATAATAAAGACAGTTTACTGTTATATAACAATAGACAACATTTACCATGTTTGTTTACTATGTGACTCAGTATTTGCACTATCTATGATTTGTGTCTGTAAGGTTGTTTCTGTCTCCTTTGATCGCCGGATTTTCTCTCGTTCACATAATGAGTCACTGCACATTGAACTTTGACCCATTTTTTGAGATTGTATTTTATCTTATTTTTTAATTTAATCAAAAATCACAAATAAGACGTGTGTTACAACACCTGCAAAGCATGTTACTGCATACATCTGGACCAGAGGCTCCTTACTGTGAAACACTTTCCGGAGCATTGTGTTATTTGGATGGTTGCCCAGGTTGTCTATCTACAAAATGAACGTCATGTTGCTTAAGTTGCCGAAAGTCTTTTCGTCCGTTTTATCAAAAACTCATTCGTGAGATTCAAATTCGCGATTCGTCTGTATATCTCGAAACAAAATCTATGAAAATTATTTCACGATTCATAATACAAAACATATGGATCGATCCACAGTGTTCTTTACTTGTCAGTCGTGATAAGGATATAAAGCATTGACATTAAGGCTACCAGATGTTGCGTCGTTTTTGGTGGTCGTTGTTGTTCCCATTTGTATAATTTTATAAATAAACCGTTTACTTAGAGTACCATGGATATTTGATATGCCTTTAACCGTCTAGTATAGAGAAATTATAAACGACAACCCGTATATGCACGTTTTTAACCACCAAAATTGCATGATATACATGAAAGATAGTACGGAAAATTATTAATATAGACCAAATATTATATATAAAAAAAAGTGAAGGTGATATTTGAGTGTGCATATTAAGGTGTTTTTTTAAATGCTATATTTGCTAACTGAATCTTTCTACAAAATTCAATTATTCTCCTGCAAGATGCCACGCTATCGTATTTCTCTTAACACGATGGGACCAAGGAAAGACAATATGCAGTATGTAGATACTGATAGCCAAGTGAGAATAGAATTAAGGTTTGTTTTAAAGGAGGTTTCTCGCTGGTTTTCAGCAATATTTCACTGCCTGAAAGATATTAAACCTTCCGGTTATCTTCCCAGTATCAACCTAGTTTTAAACTTTCTATTAATACCTCCCGTGAGACGAGTGCCAGAAAGGCAAAAAACTATATCCATGTTATACTCAGCATGCGTTCATTGTAAGTAGCTGTGGTAAGTAACACTGAGTGGGAACCCCTTTCACCTGTTGCGCTAGTTAGGTTAACTGGATTAACTCTCGGGTAACATATGGCCGCGTTATTTGGTATATTGTGGTATAGGCCTTTACGCATGAAACCGTTCTTATGCTCAGGGATGAATTATGTACCCAATGAAACTTTCTCGCTTGAATCATGTAACATGGTCATCAAGTGTAAACATTGAAAACGGTATTCGGCTTTATGTCGCACCAACACGATTCCATAGCATTGACTCACTATTTAAGAAGTAATCTGTCATGGGAACAAGAAAGTTGGGTTGAGCACAACCTATGGGTTGACAACGGTTTCATGATAACGGGCCGAGATCGGGTCGAGTTTCAGGCAGCTCTTTCTATACTGTATTCACACAAAGTGTGCTGCTAAACCCGCGCATCGATATATGTTTTATTTAATCTTATCATTACGATATTATTCATATATATATATCACAATATTTGTATTTCATGAATCATTTTACTTTAAAACAATGAAAAAGAATTAAAGCTATTTTTGTTATTTTAATATATCTAATATATCTTAATCTTTGGTATGCCACTTATCCGACTCTGAGCCGTTTGGAGAAAATATCGGTTTTTGTTTAAAAAAAACATGCCAGTGGTTTCATACCCGCGGCTGAAATGATTATAGCTGCTATAACCGACCTAATGATCATACGAGGCGACTAATATGGGGGCCCCATGCATACGGTTTTCCTCTGTCTTCTGTTTGAAGAACATTTAAAAAAAAACATTGTTCTGCTGTGCCTATTTGGTCCGTACTCTGATTTGCGTTTTTAATTTTTTTACCCGGTAGTGTTTCGTTAGATGCACTGATTAGCCTGTTGTGAGAATAGCGTGATGGGTGGGCTCGTACAGGGGATCCCTGTACCACTGCCAAAAATGTAAATATGCATTGAATTTTTGCAAGTCGAAAGCTTTCATAAAACATTTCTGAGATATTTTCGGGACACAATGACAAACTTGTCACTCTATCGCTCCTATCAACTGAGCTACCTGGCCAACGAACGTGTCGGACACGTTCCATCCGAGACGAAATTAAGTGAGGTTACTGCATGTATACGAAAAACTACAGTACAGAGGGACAGGCATCCTTAAGCTATTTCCGTGCTTTTAAGTGGCTGCTGAGTAGCAAGTTACAAGTGTCGCAAAACGAGATTAGCTGTTACGAGGACAGGTCGTAATCATACTTGAGCAGTTACAAAGTCGTACAACTTACACGTCGTCGATCTTAGTTCTACTGGCGTCAAATTCTGCAAAACTTGTCACTCTATCGCTCCTAACTCTAACGTCGCGGTTTGTCTCACTGTCAGTAAATGTAAATTATTTGCACAAAAAACATCGGTGACATAAGTAGACCTGGACAAGACACAGCAAAAGACAAATTGCGCGGTTTTGATTTGAAAGTTAATCGTTAGCGATTTTTCATATTAGATTATTATTATTGAAATGATATTTCAAGAAATACCAATTCAATGATCAACAATTTCCTGTATATCTATAGTTTATTGTGAGAAATACTCCTTATCTTGACGACATAGAACGTTGGTAATATATATGGATGTGGAAATGGCATAGTTGCCTGCCAGGGATAGATGTGTAATGGAAGCGAGAAACGTTCGTCATTTACCACAAATCATAAGACGCTTGCTACTTCCACCTTGAAACACCGTACTCTTCAGTGTGAAAACCTGGATCGATAAGGGGATTGCTAATTATCAGACGACAATAGTTTTTATGGAGAAATCTCGCTGTTTTGTCAATAGTTTGCTATACGAAATGCATTAAATGGCACAGTACATTCGTATATCTATCAATATATGAATTGACCACTGGTGGATTACAGTAGTATTCAGCGTTGTTCCTTCTTACAAATAACATTCTAATTGAACAGTTTTCGCACATGCAAAGAAATCTTCTTGCCATGGTAAGGCTAAAAGCCCGTTCAAGCGTATCAAATGACAATAGGTTTGCCTCGTATTTCGCACTGTTTGCATTTGATTTAAAATCAAGGTGTTACAGCTAAAAAGAGCGAAAATCCTGCTAAAACAATCTCGCCCCATTATTACTGTTATTAATACATCTAGCACGGAGAAAATGGGGAGTAATGTTGTTCGTCTAGTTCGCTAAAGATGGTGTCCTTCGTAATGCCGATGTATATGCCAAAAGCTGTTGCCATTTCGACCTCCTTCCTTTAGTTTCCCATCAGGTCACGGCATGTTGGGTAGAACTGTTTATTGCAAATGCTAAACGCATCATCAATTAAGTAATATGTTTCCCTGTTTTTATAAAAGACTAGATTCGCTTTGGTGTTTACTGTGCCTACTTACGTACATAGCCCTCTTCATCTGGTACATCAATAGTCACATACTGAACAACGCTTGCTTTTTGCGGTTCTGTTATTTTCGCTTTGCTGTACGTCATATGGGAATCCTTTAATGTGTTTTGTCGAGAACAATTCGCCAATTCACAGTCACATTCACACTTGACACTGAGTCTTAAAAGCGGCAACTATCGTAACGTCGCCCTAGCAACCTACGGCAGTAGGATAAACGCTACTATTGAAACTACATAACATTAAACATTAGTTGCGCACAAATGCGCGAACAAGATTCGTTCTTTTCACTGTCATTATTTACGTAGACCTTCCAATGAAAATTTCCAATGCACATATAATATTTGGACGAAAGACTTGTATAAAATATTTATGCAATTTTCGTTGAGTGCAATACATGTAGCACGCGATGCAAACCCTGCAATTCCGTAGTAGCGTGAAATTTGAACCCGGTGATTTTGTTCAGCCGGGAACCTGCAAAACAATAGGAGTATGTAGAGTTTTAGCTGTTAAACTTTATACCTATCCTAAAATTTGAAATTAATTCTTCTTCTTTTTTGTATTACAGAAGACAATGCAGAGTGAAATTTCCTACAGTGTACGGGAATATACGGGAAAAGTCGAGTAAGCTCTCCAGTGGTGTCGGAGAATACACGGAGTAAGCGGAGTGAGATTTAGGGGAGTACACGAATTAGCCGAGTTAGACTTCCAGCAAAGTATGGAAAACGCTGAGTAAATCGTCCTACAATGCAGTTACTTTGCGTATCCTTTAAGTGAAGTTTGTGAACCCATTATTCTTAATTCGGCTGTGTTCAAACGCTAATAAAAATGGCGGAGAATGCAACCACAGGAACGACTCTTAGTAATCAAACCATGCTAGACAACTTCTTTTACAACAGTCACATAAGTTGTGACAATCTCTCCGATTCCTCGGGTTATTTCGGAAATGGAACGACCGCGGTATTTGGAATCATGCTAGTTGTTACAATTATTGCGGCCGTGTTCGGGAATTCGATGGTGATTGTTGTTATAGTGAAGAATCGGACGATGCGAGAAATGACCTACATGTTCCTTTTGAGCTTGGCTATAGCTGATCTAATGATCGGAGCGTTCATGGCGCCCTTAGCATTCTACAATCTTGTAAAACAATGCTGGAACCTTCCTCGTTTTATGTGCACATTGAATCTCGTCATCAATACAACACTCCTAGTGACATCAATCCACACGCTCATGTGGATAGCAGTGTATAAGTATATTTGTGTTAAGCGAATATTCAGTCCCCCAGGAAGGTGGGTGGGGAACTTGATGATCGTACTAGCGTGGGCCTGGGGTATCTCGTTAGCAGTCATAACAATTGTGTGTAACAAGGCTGTGTACAAACCTAAAACAATGCAATGTGGACCTACCTACCCTGTTAACACCTATGTTCTCCATGCTGCAAACCAGCTCATCAACCTCGTTATACCAATCATTGTCATGATAGTCGCCTACATCAGGATATACATTGCGATTCGTAAGTCAGGAGAGTTCCAACGCCGACACACTATCTCTGTGGAAGGTCGTCAAAAACGCAGCGAAGCGAGGGCCGTTGCTAAGACACTCTTCATTGTTCTTTTGTGTTTCCTGCTTTGCTGGCTGCCCTACTTCTGTTATACAAATATTGGCGCCTTCATAACCAACAAGGCCGATATTCCACCCTACCTCAACGTCTTGGTAAGTATATTTCTTACCTACCTTTACGCCCTGGTACATGTACGTACATTACCTACCTATCTCAAAGCCGTGTTAAGTACATTACTTACCTACCCCAACGTGGTGATGAGTGTATAACCTACCTATCTCACCATGGTGATGAGTATAGTTCCTACCTACCTCAACGTTGTGATGAGTATAGTCCCTACCTACCTCAACATGGTGATGAGTATAGTTCCTACCTATCTCAACGTGGTGATGATAATAGTCCCTACCTATCTCAACGTGGTGATGAGTATAGTCCCTACCTATCTCAACGTGGTGATGAGTTTAGTTCCTACCTATCTCAACATGGTGATGAGTATAGTCCCTACCTATCTCAATGTGGTGATGAGTATAGTTCCTACCTATCTCAACGTGGTGATGAGTATAGTCCCTACCTACCTCAACGTGGTGATGAGTATAGTCCCTTCCTATCTCAACATGGTGATGAGTATAGTCCCTACCTATCTCAACATGGTAATGAGTATAGTCCCCACCTATCTCAACGTGGTGATGAGTATAGTTCCTACCTATCTCAACGTGGGGATGATAATAGTCCCTACCTATCTCAACGAGGTGATGATAATAGTCCCTACCTATCTCAACGTGGTTATGCTAATAGTCCCTACCTATCTCAACGTGGTGATTAGTATAGTCCCTACCTACCTCAACGTGGTGATGAGTATAGTTCATACCTATCTCACCGTGGTGATGAGTATAGTGGCTACCTATCTCAACGTTGTGATGAGTATAGTCCCTCCCTATCTCACCGTGGTGATGAGTATAGTCCCTACCTATCTCAACATGGTAATGAGTATAGTCCCTACCTATCTCAACGTGGTGATGAGTATAGTCCCTACCTACCTCAACGTGGTGATGAGTATAGTCCCTTCCTATCTCAACATGGTGATGAGTATAGTCCCTTCCTATCTCAACTCACTGGTAGGTACAATACCTACCGTCATCACTGCCGTGGTAAGTACAGCACTACCATCCTCAACGCCGTTGTCAGCCATTATCTTCCTACCTTATTGTTGTGGTAAGTGCATTAGTTATTTCAACACTGTAGTAATCATACTCCCTGTATATGCCAACAAAAGTGTTAGTAAATAGTATAGTGATACAGGACTATGCAAGATATCTAACGACGATAGTATGACGAAGGGAACATGAAATGAATGGGAGACTGCATAGACAACCGGATGCAACTTGGCTCAATTCTATTTTTGAGAGACGGATAGGTAGATGTATAGTTTGAAAACCTGCTTACAATTTGAATGACAAGGGTTAACACTAAGATGAATCTGTTCGTTTAGCTGATTGCCCTCTTCATCACTTCTGTACATACATTCGGCTCTGTCTATGGGAAAGTCATTTTCGTTATGCTCTTCGCTTTCTCCAAAAGTGTTTTTTCCAAAAGCAATCCTCGAATAACGTTTTTATCTAGTGTACAAAATCGTTGCTCACTAAATAAAAGTTAAACATCTGAACAGTTTTACTGATCGTAAAGTAAATGTTAATGGCTGTGAGATTCAGGACATTTCCATGTTATAAGACAATTGTTTTTGGATCATGGCCGACAGTAGTTTATTCATTTTATATGCATGCCAGAACAGATTTAGAGGAGGGTGGGCTGATTGTGTAGGATTTTTAGCTTTCGAAACAACTTGAGTCATATGACTAGACATCCACTGAAGATCTATTAGTCATATGGTCATATGACGACGGTGTCAAGATAACGATGGTGTCGACTGACATGTCCACAAAACAATTCCCACCATATGACGACAGTGTCCACAAAACAATTCCCACCATATGACGACAGTGTCCGCAAAACATTTACCACCATATGACAATGGTGTCCACAAACAGGTTATATCACGACACGTTAACACCAAAGCTAATTATAGTTTGATGACGGTGTCCGCCTAACACCTACGGTTATATTACGACGGTGTCAATAGGAAATGAGGCCTCCCAATGGCTAAAGTTAAAAAACAATGGAATGTCGGCACACATTGGTTGAGGCACACAATGGTTATTTTAAAAGTTCAGAAACAATAGGAGATGGATGATAACGTAATTTTCCAATCCTCCTCGGTATTTGTCATTAATTAAGGAATGTGCCTACAAATTAAGCGTGGCCTTATGAACTTCCTCTCCATTTTTTTCCGTTCAATACTACATCCGTTGCTCTTTCATGTTCCCCGTCCAGTTTCACTATATAATGTTAACCTACATCCTGATCAACATAAGTATAGTTTGCTTTCCCTGATGCACAGTTCGATATCAAAGCGAAAACACATGACACTTTCATTTAAAATCCGTGCAGGTTCGGGAAGGAAAAGGCCTGCTGTATCCCAAAGCATAATCGTATGATGCGACTAAATGGCCCCTTGCAGAATCGTGGATGGTAGTTTCGTTGTCGTTTATTTAGGAGATGTCAAAGAAACCAAGGACAATCCTACTGTATCCCACAGAAACCAAGGATAGTCCTACTGTATCCCACAGAAACCAAGGAAAATCCTACTGCATCCCACAGAAACCAAGGACAATCCTACTGTATCTCACAGAAACCAAGGATAGTCCTACTGTATCCCACAGAAACCAAAGACAATCCTACTGTATCCCACAGAAACCAAGGACAGTCCTACTGTATCCCACAGAAACCATGAATAGTCCTACTGTATCCCACAGAAACCAAGGACAATCCTACTGTATCCCAAAGAAACCAAGGACAATCCTACTGTATCCCAAAGAAACCAAGGACAGTCCTACTGTATCCCACAGAAACCAAGGATAGTCCTACTGTATCCCACAGAAACCAAGGACAATCCTACTGTATCCAACAGAAACCAAGGACAACCCTACTGTATCCAACAGAAACCAAGGACAATCCTACTGTATCCCACAGTCACCAAGGACAGTCCTACTGTATCCCACAGAAACCATAGAAAGTCCTACTGTATCCCACAGTCACCAAGGACATTCCAACTGTATCCCACAGAAACCAAGGACAATCCTACTGTATCCAACAGAAACCAAGGACAATCCTACTGTATCCCACAGTAACCAAGGACAGTCCTACTGTATCCCACAGAAACCAAGGACAATCCTACTGTATCCCAAAGAAACCAAGGACAATCCTACTGTATCCCACAGTCACCAAGGACATTCCAACTGTATCCCACAGAAACCAAGGACAATCCTACCGTATCCAACAGAAACCAAGGACAACCCTACTGTATCCAACACAAACCAAGGACAATCCTACTGTATCCCACAGAAACCAAGGACAATCCTACTGTATCCCACAGAAACCAAGGATAGTCCTACTGTATCCCACAGAAACCAAAGATAGTCCTACTGTATCCCACAGAAACCAAGGATAGTCCTACTGTATCCCACAGAAACCAAGGATAGTCCTACTGTATCCCACAGAAACCAAGGATAGTCCTACTGTATCCCACAGAAACCAAGGATAGTCCTACTGTATCCCACAGAAACCAAGGATAGTCCTACTGTATCCCACAGAAACCAAAGATAGTCCTACTGTATCCCACAGAAACCAAGGATAGTCCTACTGTATCCCACAGAAACCAAGGATAGTCCTACTGTATCCCACAGAAACCAAGGACAATCCTACTGTATCCCACAGAAACCAAGGACAGTCCTACTGTATCCCACAGAAACCAAGGATAGTCCTACTGTATCCCACAGAAACCAAGGATAGTCCTACTGTATCCCACAGAAACCAAGGATAGTCCTACTGTATCCCACAGAAACCAAGGATAGTCCTACTGTATCCCACAGAAACCAAGGATAGTCCTACTGTATCCCACAGAAACCAAGGATAGTCCTACTGTATCCCACAGAAACCAAGGATAGTCCTACTGTATCCCACAGAAACCAAGGATAGTCCTACTGTATCCCACAGAAACCAAGGATAGTCCTACTGTATCCCACAGAAACCAAGGATAGTCCTACTGTATCCCACAGAAACCAAGGATAGTCCTACTGTATCCCACAGAAACCAAGGATAGTCCTACTGTATCCCACAGAAACCAAGGATAGTCCTACTGTATCCCACAGAAACCAAGGATAGTCCTACTGTATCCCACAGAAACCAAGGATAGTCCTACTGTATCCCACAGAAACCAAGGATAGTCCTACTGTATCCCACAGAAACCAAGGATAGTCCTACTGTATCCCACAGAAACCAAGGATAGTCCTACTGTATCCCACAGAAACCAAGGATAGTCCTACTGTATCCCACAGAAACCAAGGATAGTCCTACTGTATCCCACAGAAACCAAGGATAGTCCTACTGTATCCCACAGAAACCAAGGATAGTCCTACTGTATCCCACAGAAACCAAGGATAGTCCTACTGTATCCCACAGAAACCAAGGATAGTCCTACTGTATCCCACAGAAACCAAGGATAGTCCTACTGTATCCCACAGAAACCAAGGATAGTCCTACTGTATCCCACAGAAACCAAGGATAGTCCTACTGTATCCCACAGAAACCAAGGACAATCCTACTGTATCCCACAGAAACCAAGGACAGTCCTACTGTATCCCACAGAAACCAAGGATAGTCCTACTGTATCCCACAGAAACCAAGGATAGTCCTACTGTATCCCACAGAAACCAAGGATAGTCCTACTGTATCCCACAGAAACCAAGGATAGTCCTACTGTATCCCACAGAAACCAAGGATAGTCCTACTGTATCCCACAGAAACCAAGGATAGTCCTACTGTATCCCACAGAAACCAAGGATAGTCCTACTGTATCCCACAGAAACCAAGGATAGTCCTACTGTATCCCACAGAAACCAAGGATAGTCCTACTGTATCCCACAGAAACCAAGGATAGTCCTACTGTATCCCACAGAAACCAAGGATAGTCCTACTGTATCCCACAGAAACCAAGGATAGTCCTACTGTATCCCACAGAAACCAAGGATAGTCCTAC